AACGACTATTGCACAATACACCAAGACGCCAAGTACGGCGCAGGCTACTTTCCTAGACAGAGGAAGAGTAGGCCGACAAAAAACTAGGATGCCACCAGGGACAGGGTCACGCTGGTGAAGGCAGTCCTAAAACGACCCTCAAGGAAGTCAAGAGCGTAGGCACGCAGGACCTTAGACTTCGAACAAATGTCTTAGTAAACGGACATAGGATGACAGCGACCATAGATAGTGGTGCTGCACGAACAATGATCTCACCCCGAGTGGTGGAGAAATACGACATACCCCATCAGGCCAAGAAGGTGCCGATGCGAGTGGTATTAGCCGACGATAATCCCATGGCATACGGGAACGGCATGATCAGGCTAGAGACCAAGCTGGTGCCAATGGAATTGGCAGGCAGGAAAAGCCACGTGAAGATCAACATCATGGACCTCGGAGAGGAAGATATCCTCATAGGTTATAACTGGTTGTTAGAACACAACCCGGCCATCGATTGGCAAAAGAAAACAATACTTAGCTGAGAACCTGTGCACAAGGTTGCTGGAGTACGAAAAGAGACGAACCCGATTATCCAGAGCTCACCCAAGGACGGGAGGATAGGTACGATCTCACCACATAAGATCATGAGAATCTATGTGAAGGACCCTCAGAGAATAGGAGTCATTTAGTTAAAACAGGTCGCGACCACGAAGGAAGGACTAGTACCACAGTTGGCGATATCAACAGAATACCAGACGAACGAGTTTCGAGAACTGTTCGAGGAAAACGAAGCAACAGACCTAGCAGAACATCAGGACTGGGATCACGAGATCGTCCTCGAAGATGGAGCTAAGTTGAGCCTAGGAGGAATGTACCCTATAGCGCCTGAGCACGACGCTGAGCTGTGGGATTACCTCCAAAAGAACTTGAAAAAGGGATTTATTAGACTAGGACATGGCCCGATGGCCTCTCCAATTCTGTTCGTAAAGAAGCCGAACGGAAAGTGGCGACTGTGTGTCGACTACCGGCGGTTGAACAATGTTACGGTCAAGAATCGGTACCCCTTACCACTCATAGGAGAGCTTATAGATCGACTCTAGGGAGCCAAGTGGTTTACAAAGTTCGATGTCCGCGAAGGATTCTATCGGATTAGAATTAAAGAAGGATACGAGTGGAAAACGGCCTTTAAGACAAAGTATGGACTGTACGAGTATACGGTTATGCCGTTCGGATTGACGAACGCGCCGGCGACCTTTCAGTCAGTCATCAACAAGGCGCTCCACGAATACCTAGGAATCTTCGTTACGGCCTACCTAGATGATGTACTGGTGTACACCAACGGCACGCTAGAAGAACACGTCGAACAAGTCAAGAAGGTACTACGGAAGCTTAAGGAGTACAAGTTGTACTTACAGGCTAGCAAATGCGAATTCTATACGAAGGAAACCAAGTACCTGGGCTTTATCATCTCGACAGAGGGTGTTAAAATGAATCTAAAGAAAATCCAGACTGTACAGGAATGGCCAACCCCTAAAACAGTCAAGGATGTGCAATCCTTTCTAGGATTTGCGAACTTTTACCGAAAGTTCATCAGGAACTACTCCCGGATTGCGACCCCTCTTACGGAGATTACGAAAAAAGAAGTTGGGTTTAAATGGACTCAAGACTGCCAGGAAGCGTTCGAAACGCTCAAGCAGGCATTCTTGGAGGCACCCGTACTAGAGATGTACGACCCAAAACGGAAGACGCGAGTCGAAACCGACGCATCAGATTATGCACTCGGAGCTGTATTGTCACAGCAGTGCCTAGACGAGAAATGGAGACCGGTGTTCTACCATTCACGAAAGTTCTTAGGAGCAGAACTAAACTACGATGTTCACGATAAGGAACTACTTGGAGTAGTCGATGCCTTTGAACAGTGGGAAGTGCATTTGCTAGGCTTGCCCCACACGATCGAAGTGTTTTCCGATCACCAGAACTTGACGAGTTTCATGACGACTAAGAAACTCAACCGACGCCAAGTCCGATGGGCTGAGATGCTAGCCCAGTTCGACTTCAAGATAACCCACCGAGCCGGATCGCTCAATGGAGCAGCAGATGCCCTGAGCCGAAGATCCGACCTACGGGAAGAAGGTCATCAGGAACCACATGACGCAGTACTCAAGATGATGCCCGATGGCACCCTGAGGTACAATCAGCCGGACCTAGTAAGAGTAAAAGTTGTAGCTCACCAGGTCACGACACTTCAACAACAGTGGCAGCAAAAGGCTGCAGACTGGCAATTCGAGCCCGACGCTGAAGGCTCCGATGAATTGTTACAGAACAAGCGAGAGTACCAGGATATGATTTCGAAAGATCGAACATATGTACCTCCACACATGAGATTAAGTCTCATTCAGGAACTGCACGAGTCCCTGGAATATGGACATGCAGGAGTAGAAGAAATGGTCAGAAGACTGGCTAAGGTATTTGCAATACCACGCTTGCGAGCGACGGTGCAGGATATCCTAGGCAACTGTTTGGCATGTCACCAGAACAAGCCCAAGAGACATAAGCCCTACGGCCTGTTACAACCCTTACAGCCACCAACGAGACCATGGAGCAGTGTCACGATGGACTTCATCGTAAAGCTCCCGAAATCACGAGAACCAGGATCTGAACAACTCTGCGACACCATCCTAGTAATCGTAGATCGATTGACTAAGGCAGCAAAGTTTATTCCAACAGAAGAGACTATTACGGCAGAGGAATGCGCGTACGAAGTCACCAAAGCACTCGTGTCGGAACACGGAGTACCGGAAGAACTTATCACAGATAGAGACAAGCTGTTCACATCTCTATACTGGACAACGTTCCTAGCGAAATTAGGCGTCAAGAGAAAGCTTTCGACAAGCTTCCACCCAGAAACAGACGGCCAAACGGAACGAACGAATCAAACATTGGAACAGTACCTACGGATGTATGTCAACAAGTGGCAGGACAACTGGGTAGAACTGTTGCCAACAGCGCAGCTAGCGTACAATAGCACAAAATCTGCAACGACTAGACAGTCACCACACTACGCGAACTACGGATATGAGCCAGTAGCTCATCGGGATCCGAAAGACATCGAAAGTATCGCAGTAGGAGCAGATGACAAGGCACGACTCATGCGGGAATTGCATGGAGAATTGAGCAAACGGATAACTCAAAGGAACCTCACGGCATCTAATGCAGCGAATAGGCAAAGGATTGAGGGACCAACCCTTAAAGAGGGGGATAAAGTTTTCCTGTCAAGACAGAACCTGAAAACTAAGCGACCATGCAAGAAACTGGACAATCTCCGAGTAGGACCATTCGAGATCCTAGAGAAGGTAGGGCCGGTAAATTACAAACTACGGCTACCACCAGGCATGAGAGTCCACCCTATATTCCATAAGAAACTTCTGGAACCAGCACCCCAGGACGCCGAACTAGCGGAAAACATCGAACTCGAAAACGACGAGTATATGGTCGAAGCAATCAGGGACCTACGGAAAATCGGTCGTCAGTGGAAATACTTGGTCAAGTGGCAAGGATGGCCGGACAGCCAGAACACTTGGGAACCAGAAGAAAACTTAACGAACTGCAAGGAATTGATACGAGATTATCGCAGGCAGCATCCAGAGAAGAGAGGGCCGGACCCTCAACAGAAAGGAAGTAATCAAGAGAAAAGGAGTCGAAAGAATCAGCCTGTAACCCGCCCAGATCAGCCGACGGTCCGGATAGCGAGGGTTCGACAGCAGGAAGGTCCGTACCAGGGGCAGAGCTCCCCTCGGCCTTCTCTTTCGCCCGGTCCTGAAACTCAAGAAGCGCGAGATCACGACGAGCGTAAGACCGCTCACGCGACTTCACCTCTAGAAGTTCACGACGCAAACGAGCAGCGGCCTCCTTGGCCTAAGCAACCTCCAGTTCCTTTTGCTCACGCTCTTGCTGAACTCGCTCCCACTCCTCTTCAGATACGAACAAACTACACTCAGCCTTCACGGAAATACAACCAGCGCAACGCCTAGTAGCAGTGTCCACGAAACAACAAAGGTCCTTCTCTTCACAACGTTTGCAGCGAAAAGGCATTTCATTTCCTTGCTGTTGAACACGGTCAGCACAAGAATAGCGCTCCTCGTTCGACTTTTGAACACGAACGCGACGGGAAGACGGGACCTTGGGCATGGTTAGGAAGGCTGGAGTCAGAAAAGAAACAGGTACAAAGGCCAAGGGCCTACCCACCTTATATGCAGCCGACGCTTCGACACGCGGCACGGAAAAACAAAGACCCAGGGTATCGAGACGATAACCCTAAGGGGGGAGGTAATGTTACAAGTAACAACGGGAAGGATCTCCTCCCTGGTAATGACAGTATGTTGGTTGAGGAACCACTTGGGATCCTAACCGGAAACGAAGGGCATCGCGGGGCTCGGTCACGTGATGTGCCATCCCGCCAAGGCTGGCCATCCGGGATGGCAGCACACGATGGGATGGCGGTGCCATCCCAACCATCCCGCCAAGATGGGATGGACAGGATGGCAAGACTGGAAGCAATGAGGATATAAGGATGGATGGATTTCATTATTTACTCTCGTTGTGGTCAACTCAAATTGTACTGTCTTACTAGTATCTTTACTTAACAAGATTGTTACTTGTTAATCTATAGCAATATAGATTGGATTTGTTAATTAACCTTTGGTTAACTCCTATAACTCTTTTCCACCAAGAACATACAGCAAAATCCCACGGAGCTGATCCCGTAAAGGCTCGCTCGCCCTAACCCGGAACGAGATTAGAGAAGTATCAGCAATCCACCCCGTGTAACACTTTGACCACCTCCGTCTCTTGTGGAAGGATTAACCAACAGGTCGCCCGATTAAGATTCAAAATGT